AATACAACTTGCCTAATAATTCTGCACTCCCTGTAAAACTGAACTGAATTAAATTTTCATTGAGAACATGGTTGTTGTTCAATAATAAAATTATTCCTCAAAAATACAACTTGCCTAATAATTCTGCACTCCCTGTACACTGTTTTTCGAATGCATAGCTATCATTTCTGTTTAATAAAAAAAAAATCATCATATGATGATGTGGGGCTAATGAGATTGTACTCTTCTGTCTGCTCAAGAGTGTTTTGTAATTTGATAAGCAATGCAGACATTTATTGTATTATGCTGTAAAATTTGTTAAGTTTATTTAAGAGTGGTGAGCCTGAGATGGTTTGGATATGTCTAGAGGAGGGAGAGTGGATTTGTTGGGCAAAGAATGTTGAAGATGGAGCTGCCAGGCAGGAGGAAGAGGAAGACCTTTGTGGATGCAGTGAAAGAGGGCATGCAGAGGGTTAGTGTGATAGACTAGGATGCTAGTGATAGAGTGAGAAGGAGGCAGATGATATGTTTTGGGGACCCCTAAAGGGAGCAGCTGGAAAATAAAAGGAAGATGGTTGTTATGTGAGAACATATTTATTATAAAGTGTAAAATATGTAACAGCCATTTACGTCTGCTCTATAGATATATTTGTTTGTGGCATTTTCTTATGGCAGATGAATTTAATGGATAGAGTGTGTATGGTTTGGAAATGTACAGGGAGCATTTCATGTGTCTTTGTTGATGTTAATAAGAAAAGATTTCTATGGCATATCTGGAATTATTTTACTTGATCGTTATTATGATTTGTGTACTTTCGTTTTTTTAATGCTTCCTACATTCATACTCAAATGTGTTTATTATTTAATTTTATTTCAAAATATATGCTTACTGTAGTTGCTTATCTTGTTGCAATAAGTTGCGCAGAGTTTAGGCAATGTTCTGGTGCAGTTTTAGAAGCCAGACACAATGTTTTTCTCCTTCTATGCGTGCTAAGTGTACAGGGACTACTTTAAACAGTCCCTGCAGAATTTGTCTTATACGTGAATGCAGGCTTCTGCTTCTTGCTTTAGCCACGTGGTGGCGATGAAGTTCAGCAGGCAGAGTTATCCCCATCAACTGTTTGCTGTGTCATCTATGATTTCCCACGCAATTGGTGGGGAATCCAGGTGATCCCCTCTAAAAACAAAGGGATCACCTGT